TTCAGGGTTTTGGGGTGTAGGGGTTTAGGGGTTTAGGGTTTAGGGGTTTAGGGGTGTAGGGTTTAGGGTTTTGGGGTTTAGGGTTTAGGGTTGAGGGTGTAGGTTGTAGGGTTTAGGGGTAGGAATGTAACTGTAGGTTTAGGGTTTAGGTTTAGGGCTTAAGGGTGAACAGTTGACTCTAAGTTACCAGACTAAGGCCTAAGGGTCTATAGTAGATAATCGGTTTTGCTTGTAACGGTCACTAAGTTCCTGAACAAGAGCCGGTTCAAGACAGGGGCCGTCATCATTACAACAGGGTTTGGGGTAAAGGAGTTTAGGGTTTGGGATAGAATTTGATACTAGGGTTTTTGAAGTATTCATATTCAACAATCAGATTCAACGACATTTTCGAACCCTATACTCGGCTTATTATTCGGAGATAAGAAAGTACAGTAATCTAGGTTCGTTAAAGGTTAGACTAGGATTGCTTCCGGCTCCTTAGTACCGTTGCCGTAGAAGTTGCCCGAAGCCCAGTGTACCCTTACAGGAACCCCAATGAAGAACTGAGGGCCTGCTCCTACAGATGCATTGGCCTCCAAGTGGGAGCTGTAAGGTCAAGGTATATACCATAATATAGGGGCCTTAATAATTAGAATAGGGTTTTGGGCCAATTATACAATAATTATAATAAGGAGCCCCCAAAATAGTATAGGAAATGATTTAGGCCCCTATAAGTAGATGGGCACACGCACCTTTATGGAAAGATACGGCTGATCTTTCTGATTTGATTCGCCTTGATCGAGCTCGCGGAGCTGTTATAGGGACATTGCCTTCAAGACATACATCTCGAGTAGACCCTAGACCCTAAACCCTCAACCCCAAAATCATAAACCCTAAACGCGAACGCGTTGCTGCGGTTCAGGTTTCGAGTTTCGGGTGTGTAACTTTCGGTGCGTCGTTTGTCGTTCAAGGTCGGGAGGTCCTGGATTAAGGGGGCAGTTTTGTGCTTTACCGTCGAGAATGTCGACAGGTTTGCCTTTTGAAGCATGCAAAGACCAGTTGCGAAGGCAAGCTTCAAGTTGAGTTGAGAGCATTGGGCCCTGCCGAGTGGAAGGACGAGTGCAATTGAAAATGCTACTGGAATGCTACACCTTCCTCTCGCGACATGAAACCCAATCTCTCCGGAATATGCTTCACAAACCCCAACACCGCAAACCTTCGAAGCCTCTTCAGAGGGTCTACCCTAAACCCCTAAACCCTTCCTGTTCCACAAAACAGGTCAGGTTTGCTTTCCGTTGGAACCTTTCTTGCCACCTGCAGACACAGCTCTTGTTAAGGAACTTCATGTAAGTTACAAGAACGATATGGCTGTGGAAACCCTACTATTTACTTTCGATCTCTGGCAACCTGAACAAAGTTCCTGATAAGAAGGAAGCCCATGTATTTACTATGGGACCCTAAACCTTAAACCCCCGAAAACCTAAACCCGGAAAACCTAAACCCTAAACCCTGCTATAGACCCCTATTCTAGTACACTAACCTAAGTTCCTTGAGAAGGACCCTAAACCCCAAACCCTAAAGCCTAAACCCTAACCTAAGTTCCTGCAGAAGAACCCAGGCATGTGGACGTTTCAGGCTCTTGGACTCTCTTGGCTGGGCTTAGGGTTTAACTGGACTCTAAAGAACTTATACCTTTTAAGGGTTTAGGGTTTAGGGTTTAGGGTCCATATTATGATTGATTTATATGAGTCCTTAAACAGGTAGGTTATTTGGGGTTAAGGTGGGGTTTAGGATTTAGGGTTTCCGAGGTTTCAGTTTTCAGGGTTTAAAGACGGGTCGATGGGGTTTCCTGCAAGCTCCAGGGAAACCTTGACGAGCGCCAGGTACAATCCTCTTTACGCTAAACTTTAGGCTTTGGGGCCAGGGGGTTTGGCTTTGGGGGCTTAGTGTTTATGGTTAGGCTTGAGGGGTCTAGTGTTTGGGGTTAGGGGGTTCGGGTTTAAGGGTTTAGGGTCCAGTCTCTACCGCTTGAGCTCACCCGATCATGCAAGCAAGGTGTTACACGCAGCCGCGCTGACTACCACCCTCCTGATAAATCCTTCCTGCCCTCTAAAACCAAGCCCTCCAACATACGCTTGAGCATATAACCCCTGGCTAAGCCCGGCCCCGAACCCTCAAATAACCCTAAACCTGGTCCTCGAGATCTAAAGCCTACGCAAGAGACCTGCACCTCGAGTAGGCCCTGCTGTCTAGACTAGAATTTGAACCTGGCTACAAGAGCCCTAAAGACTAACGGTTTAGGATTTAGGGTTTAGGGAGTCTAGACTAGAATTTGAACCTGGCTACAATAGCCCTAAAGACTACCTCAACCAGCCCAGGCAGGCAAGCAAAAAGACCGAGCGGCTGGCACGAATGCCCGAAACCTCCACCACCCAAAACGTCGAGTCTACTCCAAACCTAACTCACGGTTTAGGGTTTAGGGTTTAGGGGTTTGGGGTTTAGGGTTTAGGGTTTACGGGGTTTAGGAGACAGGACTGAGTGACCGGCCTGACTTTTCGGAGGCCTTCTTCCTCGGATTTAAAATGCATCCGACAGAATCTGAACACCGGAAAGAACTAGATAAATCCTTGGTTCAGGGCCAAGGATTTGGGATTTTAGAGTTTAAAGTCTACAGAAACAGCTGGTACTTGGAAATGCAAATGGCGGGAGCCAGCAGAGTCTGTTTAGCATAGGCATCAAAGGACAAAACATCCATGCAAGAGGAACAGGCCAACGGAGACCGAAGCGCAGCACTTGGTCATCGACTTCGACGCAGTCGCCATCATCAAAGTCATCATGTCATGATTATGACCATTAGCCCGAAAGCCTAAACTCTAATTGGTCATGGTGATGACGATGATGGTCATCATCATTAGGCCCTGAGCCAGGTCGTTTTGAGTGGCATCCCCTTCTTACAAAACTCCGATACGGTTTAAGGCTTAGTTACAGTTTAGGGTTAAGGGTTGAATTAGGGTTTGGAGTTTAGGGTTTAGGGATTAAGGTTTAATTAGAGTTTAGAGTTTAGCGCTACAAGTATCATGATTGCAAGCACGAAGAGTCATGCTGGTCATCACACGTGAAAATCACTGTTTCAGGCCAGGCGCTGCTTTGCATCTTGGTGCTCTGCTGCGTCCCTTCGCCAGTCAGACTCCTTTGGGGGTTGGAGGCTTACGAATCCCTGGGCCCCTGGCCCGCAACTGATGTGCCCGGCCACTATACTACGCCTGTTACACCTTTCTGCTTTAGTCTATACAACCCTCAAACAAGGTATGCCACTGCTGGAAATGAGAAACGCACTTCCTATGACATGTGACAGCTCAGAAAACTAGAACTCAAAACCCTAAAGCCACTAAACCGTAAACTGTAAACCCTAAACCCTCCGCTGACATCGGATCACGGGTTCGGGTGTCGAGATTGATTTCTGCTAAAACCTTCACCCAAAGTCTAAACTCGAAGCCCCGAACCTGAGGTGAACCTTGAACCTTCAGTTCTAATTAAAGGAAACTACAGGTGGGGAGTTTAGGGTATATAGGGTTTCTATAAGGCTTCCATAAGGTATATAAACCTTCGTACGGCTCCGAAAACGGTAACTACCCACCTGAAAACGTCCTAGATCTAAGCACTGTCATCTTAAGCTTACTATACATTACGGCCCAAACTCTCCACAACACCGACTCTGAAACATGTTTGCATGTGGAGTCGGGTTCTGCTGACGACTCTGGGTCATGGTCTGCCCTAGACCCTTCACTAAACCCGAAACCTTCAACCCTAAACCTTAAACCCTGAACCCTAAACCTTAAACCCTAAACCCTAAACCTTAAACCCTAAACCTTAAACAACCCTAAACCCTAAACCCTAAGCCTTGAACCCTAAACCCCTGTGGTTTAGGACTTCAGAACTTCAGGGACTCCAGGTTCAGGGTCGAGGATGTGGGGTCTACCTAGACCCCTTCAATGTAGTAATATGGCTTAGGGCTTAGGGTTTAGGGTTTAGGGTTTAGGGCTTAGGGCTTAGGGTTTAGGGTTTAGGGTTTAGGGGGGAGGGTTTGAGGTTTAGGGTTTAGGGTAATATAGGAAGAGCCTTAATAATTGGAGTAGGGTTTTGGTGGTATTTTATACTAAAGTGATAAAGGAGGAACCCCCGAAATAGTATAGGCAATTATTAAGGCC